GCTTCTCAGGAAGCCATCCGTAGGCTGCCAGGCAGCAAACAGAATGGGCTTTCGTTGACTCGATTGTCATATGGATCGATCTTGCTTGGGCTGGCGTGCCCTTCCCGAGAAGGGCGGACGAAGGTGCCCGCTGGGAGGGGGCAGGATATCCAAAAGGAGCCCCAGTCGCACATTTACCTTCAAACGCGGCGATGGGGCGTGAACCCTGTACCCACAGGGAGAATTCGATCATGCCTCAGATGCCGTTTTTGGTTTGCACCGACACCACACACCGTCCGCACGTATGTGCCCAGGGACGTACCGGACTAATCTGCAACGAACGGCATCATTTGAACCATCCCACAATTTGCACGACTAACGTGCTCAGGGACGTACCCGACTCATCTGTAACAAGTGGCACCATTAGCGGCCCTATCCCAAACGAACGAACATTTGCATTGCACGCCCGATGGAGTCCATAAGATGCGCGACATATTGTGAAAGAAAGTGGAGGGGGGAAGGCGGAAGGACGACGACAACATGAGGATGATCAGGGCTAAACGAGAGGAGAGGAAAAGAGAAACTTGGCAAGGACAAGGGCCAGCAAAACGAGGATACGTAGGATTGCCAGAGGGCAACAACATAATCGCTGGCATCCTAAAACCTAGTTCCTCAAGCCTAGATCCCTGGACCTCGCATGCCTCGCAGCGCTCAGAGAGTGCAAGGTTCCGTTTGGGCCCGCGTGCGTCACCAATCCGCTGTGGTTTTGCAGTGTCATTTGTCCTTTTCCAGGGTGCCGTGAACGTGGCGCAATCTGTTCGCTTGGCGGACTGTCGGAGGGGATGGGGGACGGAATGCTCGTATTCGCACCGCACGGTAAATTAGAGAGGCGGCCTTTGAGCGTTGTCGATGCCCGGCGCGGCGCGTGCCAGGATCCGTCCACCGGGAAGTCCGCGAACGTGCGCGGCGATTCTTCGATGCCGAAGCGTTTGTGCAGTCGCTGGGCCCGATCGCGAGGCGTTTGGCTGCAGGGGCCAGGCGCCGCTGCCTGGAAGATAAAGCCGGCGAGCGAGGTGCTCGCGCGCCCATGGCGCGCGGCGCTCGCGCGGCCTTCATCGCGCACCGGGCTTCATTATTTTTGAGGTGTCGCTGGACGAGAGGTACAATCTGGTAATGGCGCGGCTGTCGCGATCGCGATGGGGGGGCCCGTGAAACGCAGTGCGGCGCGGGGGCACCATTGTCCGTCCCACTGGATCGCCTTCCGCCCGGCAGCCGTGCTAAAGAGGCCGTGCCCGCGGATTCAAACTAGGTCCGAAAGGGTCCAACCAACCAACCTACAGGTAGCGGTCGCGTTCTTTTATGTGGGGCGTTATAGGGTGCATCGGGTACGCCACCGCCACATTCCTTTCGGAACGCCAGGGTGAGACAAATTTCTAGGAGGGAAACTACGAAGACATACATTTTCGGAGGTCTGCGCGGACCTCTTGCTGTATGTCTATGCAGTTGTTCTTCCTCCAACGGTGCATCGGAAGCGCCGCCTTCGCCTTCGTTCGCATCGCGCATCCCCATGCTCGCCCAGATACGTCCAGCCTTTCCTCGCGATGGGCCCAGGAGGCCGAAAACAGCGCAAACTTCCCGAGGTGTTTTCTTCCACGTCGCGAGCATGTATGAGTTCTCAACGCGCGTCCTTTCGGTTTTCCTCCGAATCCTCTGCGCCGCGCCCCCAGGTGTTACAGCCGAGCCGCTGAACAACATATTAATTGATGATGCACAACATGGGGTCGTCTTCGCCGACATTGGCGCGTAAGCTGCCCGCGTAAGGTCGCGCGGAAGCGCCCTCGTCTCCATTGTGGCGTGCTGCAGTGGCTGTCCGCGTAGGTCACCGCGCAAGGTCGCTATGGCATCTCGCGTCAGACCCCCTTTTTAAGCGTCGTTCAGGTGTTACAGTCAAGCTGCTGGAAGAAGGGCCAACTGGAGCTCAGGAGGGGCTCTGTTTTCTGGTCCGCTCCCCATGTCAAGGTCGGGCATTTTCTCCGTGCCCTGGGCCCGCCGAGGTCAGGAACGCCCCTCCGTTCCTCATTCGGTGTTGTTTTTGGGACGCAAGCGTGGACGTACTGTGCGAAGGGGGGCGGAAAGGAACCGCTTGCTCTGTGCATGGCTGGTGGAACTTGTCATCTAGTTGTAGTATTAACTCGGAATGAAGTATAAGATCGAGGTCGGTTCGGGGAGGGCACCCTAATGTTTCTCGTGCTTGTTGGATGTTATTGTGCCTCCTGGGGAGAGTGCCTTTGGATGCTCTGTTTGTTTTGGCAGACGGTTGGTATTTTGGTTTAGTTCCGATTGGAATCACTTGCTGCAGACCTTTTGGGCAGTTTTAAAGTCCAACTTGAAAAACCAACTTCAAAGGCCGATATCCAACCTTACAGGAAAACCCGTTCACAGGATGGTTCGAAAACGCCCATCTGAAAACATTGAATGGTTTCGAATCACGCGGTGGGGATGAGAAAACAACCAATCGTTCCCTAGTTGGTGTCCGAGTGGTGGCACGATGATTACTGTGGTTCGCCAGAGCGAGGCGCCTTTCCCTCCTGCCCGGTCCTGCGTGGGCGGGGTGGGAGAGGAGCAGGCGGGGTCCCGAATTCGGTGCGGCGAAGAGATGGCGGCCCACCAGGGGCGAAGCATGATTAGCGGAAAGTTTCGGTCAGAATTCCGCGCGGGTTTTTCGGATCGGCGTTTGGTGTTGGCACGTCGTCGTCGCGTTGTCGCCGTCGTCGTCGTCGTCGTCATTCCTTCGTCGTCGTCTTCGTTGTCTCGTGGCCAAACGTTGCGTGACTCTGCGCCTGTCTCCGCTGGTTTTGTGGATCCACCGCCCAGCCCACCGAACCACTCCAACCGAACCCGAAGGCCCCGACTTGCCTTCCATTCCCGGCGGGTGGGACGTCAGGGAACACAAAAACCACATGTAGAAACCGTACCTCTCCAACCCGAAATCGGGGTTTTCGGGTTTGGTTGGGGTGGTTTGGTGGGTACTCATTTATTTGGTCCGTTGTTTTTCCGAGCCCGCCAAAGGAGACGTGGGACGACGCCACGGCGGGAAAGACCGTGTTTGTCAAGTTCCTCGCGCCCTGGTGAGGCTCGGCGGTGCGCCAACGGGGAGGCGAGAGGGGGTGGGCCCCCTCCGAAGGCGGCGGGGCTTTTCATCGGGGAGTTAACTAGTGGCACAAACACCACGATTTTTCCTTTTCCTTGTACATTTATTTTTACCATCATTCGTACTACTGCTAGTACAACTTCGATTACTACTACTACTACTACAACAACAACAACTACTACTGGTATTCCTAGTACAATTCGTATTGCCAGTATTTCTTCTACTATCACTACTGCTGCTACTACTACTACTACTACAGCTACTACTAGTACTAGTACTGATACTAGTACTAGTACGAATACTACCTCGTACTATCAATACTAGCACACATGATATTATTAATTCTACTACTACTGTCACTATTTCTATAACTAGTACTAACGCTACTGCCGCTACTACTACTGTTATTATTATTATTAGTAATAATGCTACCACTACTGCAACTACTGCTACTACTACAACTACTACTACCAGTACTTAATACTACTACTACTACTACTGCTACTACTACTACTACTACTTCGGCTACTACTACGACTACTACTATTGTTACTACTACCGCCACCACGACGACGACCACTACTACTGCTAGTACTACTATCATTATTGTACCACTGTTATTAATACTAGTACCACTACGCATTCTTCAACTATAACTACTTTTATGACTGCTATCACTGCTACTACTCTTTCTATTACTACTACTATTAATAATTTTTATTATTATTACTATTACTATTACCATTACTCTTACTATTGCTCTCACATTTACTATGACTATTATTGCTATTACTAATACAAGTACTAGTCTAATACTATTACTATGGCTATTGCTATTACTATTACTAGTACCATTACTATTACTATTACTATTACTATTACTATTACTATTACTATTACTATTACTATTATTATTACTATTACTATTACTATTACTATTACTATTACTATTACTATTACTATTACTTTTATTATTACAGGTACGATTACTATTTTTATTACTATTACTATCACTATTACTTTTACTATTACTATTACTATCACTATTACTACTGTTATTACTATCACTATCACTAGTACTAGTACTAGTACTGTTACTAGTACTATTACTAGTACTCTTACCATTCGTATTACTACTACTACTACTACCACCACCACTACTACTACTACTACTACTACTACTACCACGACGACCGCTACTTCTACTACCACTCTTACTACTACTACTACTACGACTACTACTACTACTACTACTAGTACTTCCACCACTTTTATTATAATGATCATTACCACTACTACTATTACTGCTACTACTACTACTACTACTACTAATCTACTACTACTACTACTACTGCTACTACCTACTACTACTACCTACGACTACTACTACTACTACTACTACTACTACTACTACTACTACTACTACTACTACTACTACTACTAGGACTACGAAGACGACTATTTCTACGACTACTACTACTGCTGCTACTACTACTACTACTACAACTACTACTACTAGTACTAATTATGCAATCTTTACTACTTCTGTTGCTTTTGTTATTTTTACTGCTACTGCTACTGCTACTGCTTCTGTTTCTGCTGCTGCTGCTGCTACGACTGCTATAACCACCACTAGTACTACCACTGCTACTACACTCGGGGGTCCGCGCTGATTTTTCGGATCCGTACTGGACTCCCCTCCCTGGCGCGCGGAGCGCGCCAGGGGCGGCGCCAAAGGCGCTGCCAGATGGCATGGCGCCCAGCGACGATCCAAAAACTGCGCGCGGACCTCAGAGGGCCTGGGGGGCAGGCCCGCCCCCTCTTGCCTTACTCCCCCCGTGGCGCGCTGCCGAGAGGCCACTGCAAGCGC